AGGTACTGGAAGACAGTTATCATCTCCTCTCTAATCTTTCTCTTTGATAGGCTAGTCATACCTAGGTCCCTCAGTCGTCCATCATTCAATTTAGTCTCCCTTTATCATCTTGGTTGCTCTTCTCTGCATTCTTTCTAGAGTCTCAGCATCATTTTTGTATCATGGTGACCAGAACTGTGCACAGTATTGTCCCAAAGGAGGTTTTCCAGGAGGCAACTGGACTGCCTGGTTTTTCCTTGAAGACGTTTCGCTTCTTATCCAAAAAGCTTTGAAGGATTGATATTACTTGCAGACAGCTGGTCATTTGCATCCTTTTAGGGAGTCGTTGAGACACTTGGAGGTTTTTCTGTGTCCTTAGGATCACCTGAGTAACGCAAATGGGTGTGAAGCAACAGTAATCAACAGTGAAAGGACACTGGGCCTAAAACATTCTTCAGCCAAGAAGGCTCCACACCCATTTGCACCACTCAGGTGATCCTGAGGACACAGACAAACCTCCAAGTGGCCTCAACAACCCTCTAAAAATAATGCAAATGACCAGCTGTCTGCAAGGAGAATAAATCCTTCCCTTCCCCACCATTCAGCCAGAGCTGAAGAAGCTTCTTGGATGAGAAGCCAAACGTCTTCAAAGAAAAACGAGAAAGTCCAGTCGCCTCTTGAAAAAGCACCTTTCGGACAACCATGACCTGGAGGACCGAGAATCTCCACAGACATTTAGCCATGTACACCGTTTCCCAATTGTGGCCTCACCAAGTGCAGCATAAAGAGGTATTGTTACTTTTTGTGATCTTGAAGCTACCCTTCTGTTGATACAGCCCAGGGCTGCATTGGCTCTTTTGGCAAACCACAACACTGGGTTTGCATGACTGTATGTTGTTGGGCCTGTAATTTCAACGCCACACACCTTAATCATTTTTCTTGTTTTGTGGTTGCAAGGCACAATTGCGTTCCCCCCCTTTTTTTATATATATATAACTTCTTTCAGCATGTCTGGCTTTTTGAAATTCTTGATGTGACGCAGTCGAAGGGGGTTCCTGAGGGCAGCTCTGTTCTTTTCTTCTAGGATGATTGGATCTGGATTAATATTTTTCTCCGGTGGATGTGACAGTCAGGTTGATGTAGGAGTGCCATACTGGCTTAGCACAAACTCTTTGAGCTTTTTAATTAAACCCAGCAGGCTGGCTGTGTTCCCTTTTGAAGTTCTGCTTTCGCTTACACGTGTCCCCAGGGCTACCTTCAAAATGCCAGCGTGTGGCTGCATTCTCTTGGTCCACCTGATAAAACATCCAGGCTTATAAATAACTAGTGTAAATCTCCCCGAGAGTTTGGGAGGTTGGTGGGGGGGGGAGACACGAAGGTGGGGTGGGACGACCAGTTTAATGCTCAGGCTGCAAATCTTTAATTTGAAGACTGGAACCCTGTGAAGCAGCCGTTGCGTTTGCAAATAACAAAGTAGCATTTGAAGTGTTAGAGAAACTGATACGGCTCAGGAAGATGGGCTTTGAGGAATTAATGACCTTCGGTGTGAAAATCGTGTAGGAGCAGGACCTCACAGGTGGAAGCTTTCACCGGGGGAGGGTGTTCCTGTAACCGATCCCTTAAATCCTAAAGACATGGCAGCATGCACAAATGTTAAAAAGGAGGGAATTCATACTCCTATAAGACTTAGTAAAGCTGAAAGATCCAACGGTACTTATTGCTTGGAATGGAATGGAATGGAATGGAATGGAATAGAATAGAATAGAATAGAATAGAATAGAATAGAATAGAATAGA